AAACGCGTGGGCCAAAAGTGGGGGGGGGGGGGGGGGAACAAATAGTTATTCTTGCCTTAGTTATTACAAAGACATTTTTCAGGAACAAAGGATCTCATCACAGCCTAAGTGCTTAAGTACTACTGTGATGAACTCAACACACACGCTTCAGCAGAATCAGTGGGTTTTGGTTGGTTTTAGTTTAATGCTCATCTTCTCTAATACTAGCACTATCTGAATACTACCATTAACACTACCTGAAAAGATGGTATTTCTGACATTTTCATTCTAACATTTTACTAACCAGTAAACAAATACTGTAATCTCCTATACTGCTTCTTTATGAACTTAGTATCAGCACTGATCATCTCAGAAACTGTTCTTAATATAAAAAAAGGATCTGTTACAGCAATGTGATATGTTGCCCCAAAAATGAATGGGCTAAAGTAAGATCACAACAGATTTTTGTTGACATATTTTTCAAAACAACAATTTAAATATTTCTGTCGAGGTAATAAAACATGGATTGAAATAATTCGTTTTGCTATTTTTGCTGCTTAAAAACTGTACTACAATTATTTTTATGCTGGGACAAAAGTTCCTATAGAGAGGTAATCTTGATTTAAACTCCCAGCACTGCAACACTGTAGGCACTTTTCACCTCAACACAGCTTGGTAAGCCGCATCATAGGTTCACTGCATACATGTGCATACAAAGGACAAAGTGTTACCTCAGCTACACATAAAGCAGTAAAAACTACAGTGCCGTACCTCCAGTGGAATTTTACAGAGACAGCTATCCTGATGTTGAGACAAGAACATTTATCTATGGCAAGTCATTTAAGACTTGTGTCCTTTTAGTCTCCTAGAAGCACTGATGTGTCCGAGCATCTTATGCTTGTCCTACTTTGTTTTGTACCTAGATGTCTGTATCAGGAAATAATCACATGCTGGTGGCGTTAACCTCACTTGTACAACTCTGTAACAGTTCACAAGCGCTACACACACCAGTATCTGCATCTCAGTGCTACTTTCTCCACAGTGCCACTACTGTTGCAATTTGTTAAGGAAAAGTGGGTTCTCTGGTGGTTTTATGCCTCTCTCATTTAATGCAATGTTTTTGAAACACAGACTAGGAATCACCGAAATAGAGACAACAGACAAAGAAAGCGAAGGACACCCCCAGGCATGAGGAGCAAAAGTGAAAGCACACGCCTGGGTTAGGATGCCACGATGGAGAGTGCAGTTGGAGGGCAGACAGCACAAATGAACCAAGCTGGCTGAAAGGCAGACAGGAAGCAAAACAGTTTGGGAAATGCTGCCTTATTTACAAACACTCCCACTAGGCGATGAGATATTCATGGGCCAGCAAAGGAAAACAGCAATCTTTACCATAATATTAAATGACTGGGCTGCCTGTCTTTTTTTTTTTTTTTTCCAATTTATCTTGCATATCATAGAAGCATCTGATAAAGACTGAAAAAAAAAAATAGGTGCCATCCTTTTGCACTGTAAAAACCTCAGTACAGAGTCTAGAGCAGCAGGACTCCTCGTCATGGACCAAGTCCAAAAGCACAGTGATAATACAAATTAAAATTGATACTTTTTCAAAAGAGTCATCAGAACTACTCTGTTATCAGAAACAGCAATTCAAAGTAACACAATTACTTTCTATCATAGCTTTCAGAGTTAGCCCTCTCCAAAAGCTTTCACAATTCCAAATATATTATATCAAATTATTCAATAAACTGCATCAAATTTTTCAAAGCACACATACTTGAGCTTTCATTTTTAATAGCCTCCCTGTACCTAAACCTCAACTTTTTGTTATATAAACAGTTGTATGAAATGTGTGCAAATAACCTCAACAGAATGTTAGGACATTTTTCACAGCAGTGCGGGAGAATGCATAAAAGAAAGGAAAGGTCTTCCTGCCAGTTGCATCAGCATTAGACCAACTGAAGTTGAGGGATTCTACCCACAGACTACAGGAATTGCATACTGCATAACCAAGCTGACAACAACTTGTACAGTGCATGTCTCTGCTCTTACTTTTGCATATCTGTACATTTAAGCCTCTACTCTCAAATTAAAAAAAGGTCAGGAGAAAAAGGCTGTTAGGAAGCAAATTCAAAAAATACAAATAAGTTCTAAGCACAAAATACCTTTGAAGACCAAACAAAACAATCGCATATCTGAACTTGTTTAAATTCTGAAAGACTGATGGAACGAACACATGCACACACACACACAGAGCGTGACCTACTCCAACTCCTCTCCAATACACAGTGAATCACCAAACCATTCTTCTGGCAATGTAATGCATTACATCTTTACTAGAAAGCAATAGATCAGGAAAACATCAGCCACAACAGCTTACTATCTAAATCCCTCCACTGACCCCCTTTTCATCAGCTGCCTCATGACCAAGATTATGTTTTCTGCTTTTGAGGTTCTACAGAAGTGCTTCTGCCTGTGTATATCACCCCATCCTCACTTACCATTTGTCCACTTTTCCCGCAGCAGTCTAAATTTGCTTCTAGGTGGTTCCTTACACATGGAACTCTTTCTGAGCTGGTCCCCAAGGTCACTATTTTCTGGGCATTCAAATCCTTCCTGAAGGCCCACTCCTACAGTGATACCTACAAAAAATCAGTTATCTAATACCTGCTAGATAGAAACTAAATGGGGATGCTCTGTATCTTAAAAAAAACATTATCAAAACTTCAAATTATTGAAATAGCATATAGAGTTTGCTCACAAAACATACCTATCCCCCCTCCCCACACTCCTTTTCATCTTTGCCTTTGAAGCAGAAAAACAATTACAACAGTAATAGTGCTTTCTTTACGTTTTTCAATACCCAACACAGGGTGGGTACTACCAGAAACAAATAATTACCAGTACTCCTCAAGTATCTGCAATTCCTGTGGAATACTTGGACTTTGAATGATTTCCCATACAATAAGGAAAACCCACAAAGTATATAGACAGATACAATCAGTTTCAAAGCCAATTAACAGTGTATTTTTGTTAAAACTGCCCCTCAAAATCCCATGTAAGTTTGTGCAGACTGGGAAATTTTTCCTTCCCTCTTTCTTTTTCCTTAGCTCCCCCCAATAATTTTCCTCCCCATTTCATTTCCACATGAAACACATAAAAGCTAAAGCAAAATCCACATCTGTGATTTCCCAGTTTCTGGAGTTGACATATGAGACGAAAAGTGATTAAGGGAAATCAGTAATTTTCATTTTGCCCCATGCATCTCTAACGGGTTATTGTTTTTACTCTTCAATTGTCAGTTGTTTCTAACCGTCTCCAAATGTCTCTTCAATTCTTGGAATTGTCTCCCCATTTCTCAAAAATATCCAGAGCAAAACAAGATAAAAATTGTATCGTCTATCAACTCCTGGAAAAGGCATCAGGAAAATTAAAAGGGGAAACATCTCTCTAAAAAGAAAACTGAGGTATACAACAACTAATACAGCATCACTTGCAAAAAGTACAAATGGGTTTAGAAAAAGAATTCTCAACCATACACCTTTACTGTAATACCCATTTTCTGTATACAAGCGAAAAAGAAACAAACCCAGGGAAAACTGACCAGTATGTGAAATACCACAACTATACTTATATTTAAAAGTTTGAGATAACTGTCTGTTTCTAAATGCTTCAAGCTGTAAATACTGAAATACTACAAAAGATAAAGAAAAATCCATATTTAGAATAATCCTGACCATTGTTTCATTGCATTAAGAAGTGTAATCCCACAGATTACCTTTAGTATCTGTTTTGCCAAATAGCTTATCTTTCCATTTTTTCTACGTCCACTGCTTCATTTTGTTTAAAAGGGAACAGACTGGTAAAGACTTAAACACCTTTTAAAGAGCAGAAAATATACAACCACATAGGTCTTTCCACTCCAAGCCTAGTGTATTTATGGATTTCACAAAACCTAAGCTGTAATGCTTACTAAGCTAACCACCAAGCGATTGCATACAGAGTTGCTACAGGGGTAGCCACTACCCACTACTGCTACGACCGGCCACATAACATGCGGGTGGCGGGCTGCAAAAACAGCCATCATGCTTTTATTAGGCAAACCCAATGCAACCCAAGCCTTGGGGCCCCTTTCCACCTTCTCACGGGCTGGCAACAAACTCCATTCACAGACAGGCTTTCTCAGCAGCCATGGAAAAACATGGAGCAAGGCCGCTCGGGGGAAGAACCGTGGGCACCTTGCAGAAACACAGGCCATATTTCAACTAGATTTCCTAGGAGGACTTTGAGAAAGGCTCTCTGGTAGAGAACCAGATGAAAACATCTCATGAGGAGAGGGTGAGCTAACCTCTGGCATGGGGATCGCAGGCAGCAGCAGCACTGCTGCAGTGGCCAGCTCCTCCGCCGGCAGCTCCACCAACAGCAGCACCCACCCATGGATGCTGCTGCTGCCGCTGGGTCCAGAGAGCACCTGGAGCTCTGCAGCTCAGCGCCTCTGTGTTTTGGTCGCATTTATAGGAATCAAAGACAAGATGAAAGAGCAAGCGCTATATATCACGTACTTTATGGCAAAAAGTGGGGTGGAAGTTAGCAAACGTTTAGAGCTATGAGGTCTACATGCAAAAGAATATTACATCTGCTAAACTACCTGAAAGCTAACAAAGTTAGCCTGTGCAACTTTAACTTCTCCAGTTTGTGGACTGACGTGATACATTTTCATATCACAGTGACAGTTTTCTTTAGACCCTCCCTCAGGCAGCATCAAGAAGGGACAGTGCCCTAGAAAGGAGCCAGCAGCACACAGCAAAGCAAGCTGCCAGTTCGCTTCTTGCAGAAGTTGGAAAGAGAGAACAGATATAAGAGGAGCATTGTTTCATGCTATTATGCCCCCTACCCATCCCTCCCTGGGGCTATTCCTCAAAACCCTACTAATCAATCCTATCTTTTCCCCTAAATGCCAAGCAACAGTCATCTCCCCACCTCTGCTCTTTTCTACAGCCTTCTCAGATTTGGTACTGCTGCTCACTGGGCTGACATGTTGAATATACATCTATTAAGAAAGCACCGTGTGCAGATTTTGGCAGCTAAGAAATCCAGAGGAAACTTTTTCTCTTTTTTTTCTTCCCTATTTTTTGATCAGAGAGGTCCTATGTGAAAAGGACTAATTTTTTTTTTTTTTTTAAACAAGTTTTAGACAGGTAATTCCAACTAAGTTTCCTATTTTGCAGGCAGTCAGCTGGCCACCTTACGTGTGGAAGGTGAGCCACGCAGAAAGGCTGAACACTCACAGCTCCAGGGGAAGATGCAGGAATGGTGCTTTGAACACATGTGCGCCAAATGTCAAGTCTTTTGGGGGCAGCAATGCTGGCTTCTGAGAGCAGGCAGAGCTCATCGGCATGGTCAGTCTCATTTCCCAAGAACATAAAAAGCCACAGAGTCAGGCCAAAGCCACATTTAGCCCACTACCTCATCTCTGACACTGGACGGCTGCGGATATGTGAACAAAAGCATAAGCATGAGGCAAGGATAAAGCAGGATTTCCCAGCAGGCTCTCAGCCATATGTAGGGGAAGATGAGTCTGATTCAGAGATTATTTTTTCGCATTTAATAATCTCAAGCAGAGTTTTCCTCCAAGAATATCTGATCACTTTTGGAATGCCTGTCAGATGTTAGTATCCAAGACATGTACGGCACAGAATAGCTTAACCACATGTCGTGCGAGAAACTTTTCCCTGGTTAGCTCTGAGGACATCACCTGCTCATTCCACTTCATACCCTCACATTGAAATATTGCTGCACTGGAGTATTTCTTGTATTTTCACTGCTCACCTTCTCCTTATCACTCAACGTTCCTATCACCTACGTTGTGACAATAAGTCAGTATTTGGGGAGCCTTTGTGATTACCACAGAAAAAAATCCGTAAGTAAATTAATAATCCTGTACTCAAAGCAGGATTAGAGTAACACGCATGTTAGAACGAGGCACTGACCCACTTATAACAATAAATAGGACTACACCATTAATTAGTCAATGAATGAGCACTGTCTGCTCTGCACACTGAATGAGGCTGGGGTCTGGTGAGGAAGGAGGAAGAGAAGGTGGCATCCACAGCCACGTAACTGAAGACTACTAAATACTTTTGAACTAGGGAAAACAGTCGGTGAGACTGTACAAGCAAGTGATTTTTGGCAATTCCCCATTTCATGTTCTTAACCTCAGAACTTTATTATTTAATACAACTTTGCATATTACTTCCTACAACCATAGAAATAAAACTTTCATCCCGTCCATTTGGAAAGCATACTGTTAACATCACAAGTCATCAACAAGGTAAGAATTTTAGATATAAGCTTGTCAGTACCTATACAGGTCAACTTCACATTCTGAACAACTATTGTCCTTATTTGTTTCACAAATGTATACTGAAGCAAGGAAGCTTAGAGGCAAGACCGGGCCTGCTCCCTGGCTCTTCAGCTTTAATTTCTCTCTCCTTCCTTTCCTTAGTCTTTTTTTCCTAGTTAGTCTCCATCCTGTAAGATCTTCTTCTGCCAGTCCAAGCTTTTGCCTCCTGTAACTTCAAGTGAGGTGGCTTTCCCAGCAGGTAATCACTAGAAACACCAGAGTGGGTTTGTCCATTCTCGGTGCACTCACTCCTCACAATGGGTGCAACTGCAGGGAGCTCTATGTAGTTTTAAACCTCTGACACATTCAACAGAAGCAAGTTTTTCAAATAATTTAACTGCTCAGCAGCATCAACCTCTGAGCACACACAAATTCCGAGGTTTTTTTCTCAGATTTACTTCTTGGTCAAAGTTTGGAACTCTTTCTTACAAGAACAGCTTCCATATAGGAGCTTTTACCCCCAAGCCAAATTATGAACCCTCTCCCCAAGCCTGAATCTCCCAGTTTAATAATTTTAATGATTTCCTTTTACATAGGGAAAAAGTGTATTTTGTGCCTAACTCTGTTTGAAAGAAAAATGAGCCAAGATCAACTTATTGCTGCTGAATCTCTCCAAGATATTTCTACCTGTAAAAACAAAAATAAAAATGAAAGGCAAGAAAGACTTCAGCTTGAACAACTGAAGTTTGACAAAATTATCAAAATCTGAAAATAGTGTCTTTTAATAGAAAGCATTAAGCAATTTTATATTAACATGCACCTCCTGGAAGGGTAGAAATGGCAGTGCTATGTTAACATAAGACACTGACAAGCTACCAACTAGAGAGACAATGCTCCTCTATGGCACAAGCTGACTGCACCTGGCAAAATAGCAGTTGCAGGTTCCTGAAGCACGTATCAAGCACTAAGAAGCTGTATACGGGGTGTTAAGCATGACTGCATCTTAATTTCAGAAAAGGTATGGTTGTGACCATTTAGTAGTCGAGTCATTTAATGTAAACAAATACCAGGTTTATGACAGAAATCAATAATGCAACCAAGCTTAATATACTCATTTAAAGGGGCACAATTTTTCTGAAGGAACATCTTTTCCTAGCTGCCAAGTGCTGCTTTACCTACAAACAGAATGGTTATTAAAAACCAGTTTGCTGCAAACACCATCTGACCATTGGACCACACATCAGGAAGATGCATAACCAAGCAGTAACAGCAACGCCGCTCTGCATGGCATACAGGCAATCTGAACTCTCACCATTTG